GAAACACGAAACTGTTATAATTATCACAAATTATCACGTGAAACGTTTAATTAATTAGATTAATTTAATATTTTGATTATACATTTATTAATTTTGAAAGTGTGTTGCTAATATAAAACCACAACTTTTTTTATTTCTATAATTTTTATATTTTTAATATGAAATTAATTACCAACGTTCCTTCTTTTTATTTTCAATGTAAAAAATAAAATGTTTTAATATAAAAGATATTTTTTTACCGCAAAATCAAATAAAATTTTATAAAATTCTTTTAACGTAAGATATTGAACATTTTTCAAAAGGAATTTATTTTTACTTACAAAAATAATTGTAATTTCTATTCTGATTCGGTACATTTGGAATTTTAACTATTTTAACGTTTTCATAAGTAAATTACATATAAAAGAAATGAAGCGATACAAAAACAAACAAGTGTCATTTCACTTGTCCGTTACAGCACAATTACATTTCTATATTCGTAAAAAAATATCAAACGAATGAATAAACTATAAAATATAACTTTATAAAACTAATTTCGTTAAATAGACACAATCAATAATAAGTAGGAAATTGAAAATAAATAGAACGATAAAAAGATTGAAAATTACTTTAATTATATGGTAATTATCTGTCTTTATAATTTCCTTATAATGGAAAATTATATACCAGTAAGAGAGAAAGAATGACATGAAAGAAAAATGTACTTACCTAATCAAACTAGTTCGGTAAAAGCAAAACAAAATTCTTTCGATATTTCAATGCGTAAGATTGGTAGAAGAATTGCAAATAATCGGATAATCGGTTGACCTAAACCGAAGTATAGATAGAACAGTCGTGGACCACTGTGTTCGAACCTACTGAGCTTCAACGTAGCTGACTTGATTGTAAGAGTCGAAGCAGGAGTAATATTGTATCCCCACCTGTGCTTAAGTTAACGAAATACACTTTTTCTTTCAGTTCAACAAACAAACAATTTTTCTTGCGGCATCTTTATCGTTTGATGCATCGTATTACAAAAAAAAAAAAAACGCTCATTTTTTATTTTTCATTGTAAACTTATTCATTAATATTGCTTCCAATGTTAATATTGCGTCAAATATTAAATGATTCTGAAACTGCTGATTACTATGTTATTTAAATCCCACCAATTTTTTTATAAATTTAATACAATTTTACTTTTGATACAAATGGTCAAACAAATCTTTTTTTTAAATAACAAAATAATTCTTTAAACAATATACTTACTTACAAAAAATATGTAATATTTCAATCTAGATATAATAATTTTTATTGTAAATCTGCTATGTAAATTGAATATTCATATAATTTTAATTTTTTTCAATTAATATTTTTTTTCTGAAAATCTTAAATCCAATAATTTATAATATGCTTCTAATTTCCATAAATATTTTTATTATATAATATTATAATATTTTTATATATTTTATAATACATAATAAAATTGTCATGAATAATTTTTCTTAAATATTCTTTATGATTTATAATATTTGATTAAAGATTGATAGATATCTTATTATAATTTGATCTTATTATAAAATAAAACGATTAAAGACAATTAAAAGCATTAAAAACATAAAATTACGTGTTATTTTCGCTCGAAACATTAATTATTATATCTTATATAGATGCATAAAACAAAACTACATAATATTTGTATGCATTTTGGAAAAAAAAGGAATACAAGAAAATACAAGATGTTTTTAAAACTTAAGAATCTTCAGAATCTTACAATTGAGATTATCAATTCACTTATAAAAAAAAATTGATATTACTCTCCAAAAAGTTTATATTAAAAAAAATCATAATTTATTACATTATTTATATAATATCTCTTTTTAAATACAATTAATACAAAAAATATTTTGATATGATATAATTTGATTAATATAGTTTTGATTAAAATATTTTTGTATAATATTTCTATTCCTTTTATTAATTTTATTTATATCGCCTTAATGTTCTTGTATATCAAAAATTTTCATTACGCAAAGCGTTACATAAAATCAATGTACATTATAGTTCATTGACATTTGGATATATTACTTTTTTAAAAAATCTCTTTTTATTTTTTATCTTCCGCTTTTCTCTCTCTTAGAGAGAGAGTTAATTATTGAGCATTTGCTATATTACTTATTTATTTAAAGTTAATGAACATATTTAATATATCATACATTTTTTTATAAATAAAAAATTTAATTGAAAAATTATTTAATAGATACGTATAAAACATATAATATCATAAATAATTATATATATAATAATTATATAATAATTATATAATATCATAAATAAAATATAATATCATATGTTTTATATATTATACGTTTTCATTATGTATTATACATTTAAACAAATATAAATTATATTATACAATACATATATATATTTAAAAACATAATTCATCATATCCTTGATATTTTTGTTGACTATTCTTTTATTGAAATGTTTTAATGATTTTTTTTTTACAATATGAAAGTATAATTATTTACTATCTACTTCCAAACATTATCTTTATGTATATTTCACGTTTAAAGTACTTTACTAACACATCTTTTACATTGCATTATCATTGCAAGAGTTCATGTTAAACGAATGTTATACGAAGATTTATTATATGTCATATAATTCATTTTTACAATTTTTTTTTTAATCTATTTTGTAAAGATAAAAAATTAATCGAAAATGTTTCAAATTTCATACATTTCATTGTAAAAAATGGTGTCTGTTTAAAAGTGTTGTTCTATTGTTAGTATTAAAGAATGTAAACATTCCATTATTAATTTAATAAATTGTAAAAAAAGAAAAAAAAAGAAAGTAAAAATGTCTTCACATACTACACCGATTGTCGATGAATTGGCAAAGGACTATGCAAATTATTTAAAACTAGATTTATCAAGTCAAGTATGCACTTTATTATACATAACCTCAATATCTAAATTTCAATTTATTATCAAAGAATATTTTTTTATATCTTATAGTTGCAGAAATCTGTATATATTAAAATATAAAATACAATACAACATTACATTCCAGATGAAGAATTTTCATGAAACCATTGAAGATGTAATGATGCGTTTAGAAGAATTTCAATCAATTATTGAAATGGTTAGAAATCATAATTTAATCTAATAATATATTTTCAGTAAACATATGATATAAATTTTATTTATATCATTATACTTTATTTTAAAAGGTTCAATCTGAAAATAGCCAATGTATCGATCAACATATACCAAGATTAAAAGATATGCAACAAGAAGTTATCAATCTTAGTAGACGAATAGATGCATTAGAACATGTTATAGCAATGATTAATGTAAATCTAACAACATTAGAAGCTGCTGTTGATAATGCAGAAACTGAACTAGGAATTTCTGATAGATTATTTGGAATGTTAAATCGTTTATCTTTCTTTGTAAGTTGTTATTATTTTTTTGATATTATAATTAATTAAATTAATTGAATTTTTTTATTTCAGAAAAAAACTCAGGAACCTATAGTATCAAATAGATTACCAGAATATGAACCTCCAACAATTTATAGAACCGATGATTATTTTAAGAATGAATGAAATGATATTTTATTTTGAAGTAAAATAATAAATTTAATTATTTTCATAAATTAATTATATCAAATAATGAAAAAAAAATTCTTAATTTTTAAGAGGTAATATTAAGAATTTTAATATTAAGAAGTATTAAATGAATTTTATAAGTATAAAATAGAAATATTTCAATATATTTAATTATTTTCAGGATATTGTTTGTAATATAAAATATTATAAACAATATATATTCATTAACAAATAAAATATCATTATAATTTAAATTTAATAATAAATACAAAATGATTTTATGAATTTGATATATTTTACTAATCTAGCCACATGCTGGAAGAGTACAAGTCTTTAATTGTGCTTTCTTTTCACCTAATGAACAACTTCCACCTATGCAATGCCTCCATCTTGTTAATTTCCCTATACCACAAGTAACACTACAACTTGACCAGTTTCCCCATTGATCCCATATTTTTGGTCCTTGACGACTCATTCTATCTGTTATTAAAATATTTGATTTCTAAATAAAAATATTATTACTAAAAAGATTAAAAATATCATTAAAATATTACTTTGTTACATCATTAACTTTGTTAAAAAAATTATGAAGTATTAAATTTTAAAATTAATATTATTTAGTAATATAATTAATAATATTGATAAAACCAATATTTTTAATAAAAACAATTTCATGATAACCTTTAAATTTAAAATATTTATATTTATTGAATAACAATAAAATAATAAATTTTTTGCTTATAACTTATACTTTGTTTTTCATTTTTTTCATCTTTATTTTCATTATTCATAATAGCGGATGTTTGTGTTTCATGATGTAAATTTTCGTTTTGAACGTTTATAAGTTTAGATACGGAAATTGATTCCTTATAAGGTTTTAATATGGTGCTATTCAAATGACTTTCGGATTGAAAAAATAATAAACATTCCATAAGAACAAATAAAATGATGAATGATTTAAGAAACGATTTTATCAAATTATATAACATAATTTACATTCTTATTAATTAATTTCACGTAATATCTTTTATTGACTGAAATTATCTATTAATAAACGAAATTATCTAATAATATTTTAATATAATAGAAAAATAAAAATAAAGAAAGACTACACAATATTTTTATGTAATAAAAAAATTAAAAATATAATTGATAATTCTAATTTAGAACTATGTGTATTTAAAAATCATATGAATTATATTAGTATAAGTATGTGTATATAAAAACATATTTCGATGATCAGTAAAATACTCCCTACATGTAAAACATTTAAAATATTTATATATATTTTATTCAACTATATAAAAAATATTACAATTTATTTTAATCTTATTGAATAAATAAATAAATAAGTTACAATTAAATATGAATATGAATATATATATATATATACATATATATTTCATCTTCATTATGTATTTTCTTTTTTTAAATTTATTATTTAGTTTTAATTCCAAGCCAGTTAAGAATGTTTTTAGATCCACATTCTTTTAAACGACATGTTTTTATTTGTGCTTTCTTTAATCCTTTTGTGCAATGTTCTGCTGCGCAATGACGCCAACGAACTTGACGACCATTTCCGCATGTTACACTGCATGAACTCCAATTACCCCACCCATCCCATGATTCATTACCTATAAAATTTAAAGAATTATTTATTTTATTGAGATATCTTATTAGTTAGATATGTTATTAATTAGATAATAATTATTATTAAAAAATCAAATTCGAAAATCTGATACGAATTAAAATGAACAATACTAGATTTAATCCAGACATATTGATACTGAATTGACTGATACATGATTGACAAAAACGACAGTTAACATGCATAAATTTATACATATATAATCATTCTTACTAGAATCATTTTTTTTAGCATCTTTAACATATCTCAAGAATTTCTTTTGTTTCTTTCTTTGTAATTGTTCATTATTTATATTATTTTCAAAATGTGTTTTTTTTAAATAATTAAGTAATTTGCGTTGATGAATTGTTGAAGTTTTATAATTGAATGGACTATAGTAAAATTTTTCATCATACCATAGTACTAATTGACCAAACTTAAAAGAAAAAAAGATTCAGCATAAAATTAAATCAACATTAATTTAAAATTATATATATGTATGTATATATTATTGGAATGAGTAATATGCTTATTTTAAGCAACTGACCTTGACATATCTGCATTGTTTGTTATTCAATACAAAAAAAGGTGGAATAATTTTCTCTTTAATATTTGCCCGATTTATTTGCAAGGAATTCAATTCAGTGGAAAAAGAGCTTACTTCTTCATTATTGTGTATACTAATTTCACAAACGTAAGGTTAAGCTTCATAACTAATGTAATAACGTAATTGATAAATAATAAATGATTATAAAAAACGCTCAATAAAATATAAACAAATTATATAAACAAAATACCATTTTTCATACCATTTATAAATTACGTAAGATTTCAAAATATTTGGATTTATTATTAAAGAATTTTTCTTTGATTTAAAAATATATAACTTTTCAAAATTAATTCCATTATTAAAATTCTCTAAAATAATGCAAGTTAATAACAATGTAAATAATAATCGCATATCATATTAAACTTCTGCAATGTTTTATCAAAGAAATACGACGTATATATTAATAAGATAAATTGAACATTAATAGGTTAAAAATTAATGTACTTAATGAAATAAATAAAATTTGACAGCATTATATATCTATATTATATGTATACATATATGTGTACATATATACATGCGCGCGCATAGAGAGCTATTTATGATAAAATATATCGTAATTATAATTAATTATATTTGTGTATTATTAATTAATATAATCGCTGACAGAAAGTCAAAAATTTCATCATTCTTTAAAATTTATAAATTTATATCTTTTAATGTTTATCATTATTTTTGCATCAACCAATTTCAATAAAATTTTTATGAATATATATATATATATATATATATATATAACTAACTATTACTATATAT